TTTGGCAGGCTCATAGTATTTTGTGGTTACAAAACAGGAATCATTATTCAAAGAAACAAAGTATTACGTAGCTACAATTAGAATAGAAGAATGTATCTTGGCTTATGCATAAGCAAGCATTTTCCTTTCAGTTCGAGTTTTGCTTTGAGCTCTTTCTGCTTAGCTAACTTTTAATAATAGTTAGAAATGTCCCAGACTATTGGCCTATACCTTGACTATTCTTTCTTGACTTACTGACTGGAACTGGTGCCACGGTTATGACAAGCGGTTAACTTGAAAAAAGAGGCTACTAATTTTAATCAAACAAGAGTAAGAGCACAAACCATTGTGCACAGGAACAAGAACAAGTTGCCCAGTACTAAGCACTAATCTGTCTTCTTAACATTAATTCTTCTTCTCTAGATTTTAATTTAATATCTCAAAAACTTCCTTGACAGGAATACAGGGAGTTTTTCATTAAACATTAACAATTTACGCTCCACAGCTGAATCATTGCATCTAGAGCAAACAGATATATTCTTTAGAAGTAATTGCATTAATTGGGAAAGTCATGCTTTTTCCTTCATACTTAATGGTCATATGAGAAGTCGTAACTATACTTATTAAAGGAATACAAAAACAAACCAGCCCATTCCCAGAAATATACTGTGCTCCTCCAGAGGATGGATGCCTTGCACCATCCACCTCAGTAGGGACTTGCCATTGCCTGAGTCAAGGGAGGGGCGCAGCACTCTACCACTGATTTTGATGTTGATTTGTTCTTCTTTTTCTAGGATCTTGAGATGTAATGTTAGATTATTTATATGGTATCTTTCCGTTCTTTTAATGTATGAGCTCAATGCTATGAACTTTCCTCTTAGGACTGCCTTCATAATGTCCCAGAGATTTTGATGTTATATCATCATTCTCATTTACCTCTAAGTATTTTTTAATTTCATCTGCTATCAATTCATCATTCAGTAGTGAATTATTTACAGTCATTTCTATTTTTTGTCTTATCACTTATTTCTAATATCATTCCATTATGATCTGATAAAATGCAGGATACTATTGCCATTGTTTTTGTATTTGCTAAGAGTTTCCTTGTGTTCTAAAATATGGTCTGTTTTAGAAAATGTTCCATGTGCAGCTGAGAAGTAAATGTATTCCATCACTGATGGAAGATATAGTCTATATGTGTTAAGTCTAAATTATTAATTGCATATTTTAATTCTGTGGCTTCTTTATTTAGTTTTTGTTTGGATGATCTGTCTAGTGATGGAAGGAGCATGTTGAGGTCATCCATGATTATTGGGTTGTGGTCCATTTGACTCTTCATGTGGACAAGGGTTGGTTTGATGCAGATAGATGCTCTGTTGTTTGGGGCATAGGTATTTCCCAAGGGCCTCTCCAGTCAAAGTATCCATCAAAGATGAGAGCAGTGTCATGCTGAGGAGGAGGCCACTCCCTCCTGCTTAGGGACTGGCTGAAGAGCTGCCCTGTCTTGGCATGACTGTCACTAGAGGTCACCATCTCCATCAGGCAGGGACTGCTTCTCCACCCCCAGACTTCAGAGCCTGCAGTGGACCTTGCCACCCATTGTCAAAGCCATCCAACCCTCAAGAACAACTACAAGGAGGAAAAGTTTATTTTGGTCTCATGGTTCTAGAGATCTATTCTGTAACTGGCCACTGTGAATCTGAGAGGAGAGGCGGAACAGCACGGCAGCGGGTGTGGTGGAGGATGGTGGCTTAGTTCATGGCAACTAGGAAAGGAGTGGGGAAGGGAGAGGAAGGGAGTCAGGGAGGGGAGAGGGAGAGAGAAAGTGCAGCAGGGACAAAATAGAGTTCAGGCCACACCCCTGCTGTCCTCCTGCCACTTCCCACTGGCCTATCGTTATCACCCAGCAGTTCATTAAAATCATTAATCCAACAAATGGATTAATCCACTGATGAGGTTACAACTCTCATCATGTAATCACTGCATAAAAGCTTCACTTCCAAACCTTGCTGCAGGGCACCAAGCCTTCACAATATGACCTTTTGTGGGGGACATTAATGCTCCCTCTCAAACATCTGTAATAACTTCTTTTCATAATTATCAACTTTTTCCTATTTCTGGGAACAAAAGACACATATTTTAGTGGTTTTCATTTTAACCACTATCACATCTAATGATGTTGATGACAATTTTCTGATCCCTTTGTGCCCTTCAGGTCCACTCATGTCCCCAAACTGAGGCCAAAGAATCAGGCCCATGGTCTTGGGCCTCACTCTCAATTCCTACCCTTGAGAAAAGAAATAAAGTAGTATTGGATCATATCCTAAAATTTAAAAAAAAAATAGTGAACTCACATTGATATAAATTAATGACTAAATAGATGAATGAGAAGTAAAAGAAAAGGTTTCCATGCATTAGAATCAAAAAATATGTATGTAGAGGTTCCATTCTTAAGTGTGTGCTGCCTGCAAGGTCCTTCCAAAGAGTACTGTGTGGGAAGAGGGAAGAAGGACGAGTATACAGTGGAGCCATTTGACAAGCACTGCCTCAATTAGGTAATAGAGATTGGGATTATTATGGATGTTGGAGAAGACCACAGAAGTAAAGTACCACCACGTTGCATCAAAGATACAAACTATCTCAGGACTTATTACTGTTGAATGCTGACCTTGATCATTACCTTGGGTTTTGCCTTTGAGTACTTTTTACTCCTGCTTTGAATGCCTACCACTACTTCTAAGAGAACTTTCTCATTTTCAGATGGTTTTTGAATTGCTGTTTAGGTGTACGAATGTTTGGTAGGAAGGGGTTCCTAGATTTTATCAGATCTCAGAAGGGGTCATGGTTCAAAATGGAGGTGTCATAACCCTAACAAGTCCACCAAGGAGGATTTTGTTCAATCCCAGCTCAGTCAGTTCTCAGCGAATATGGACTGATCCCTCCCGGGAGTGTGTGATTCAGAATGTGGCACCCCAGCTATGGCATCTTAACATACTGATTACATTAAACACCTTTGGGGACCAGAAGATGCTGGAAGAGGCTTCTCTTTATCTACTTACAGACCATGCCACCGTGTCAGTCAGCTTTTCATTGCTGTGACCAAAATACCTGACAAGAACAACTTAGAGGAGGAAAAACTTACCTGGGGCTCACAGTTGCAGGGATTTGAGTCCACGGTCATCTGAATCTGCAGCTCTGGCTCTGAGATGACGCAGAACATTGTGGTGGAAAGGTGTGGTGCAGGACAGCTGTCAGCTCATGGCAGCAGGACAGCAGGGAGGAAAAGAAAGAATCCCCAAGGACAGCACCGCCCCCCAGTAAACTGCTTCCTCCAGCCACGCCACCCAGTAGTCCATTCATATCATCAATCCATGAAATGGATTAGTGAAATGGATTAATCCATTGATGAGGTCGTAGCTCTCATAATCCAATCTTTCCACCTCTGAACATTGGTACATTACCTAACACATAAGCTCTTTGGGGGGACACTTTTAAATCAAACCATTATACCCACCAAAGGGGAACGGTGGGTGTTATGGTCTTCAGCCTTCTTACTTGAATATTAACCAAGGAATGTCATTGAATTTATATCATAGAGGAAGAGATTGAAAATCGAACAGCATTCCCAGACCCCAAAGAAGTTGGTTCTAGATCTTTTCTGTTCTTCAGGGCCCATTCATGTCTCCTAAAATTTGTTTACTGACCTTTTAGTTGCCTATATCCCCCATTTCTCTCTGTGCTGTGAGGAAGGGTAGCTAGGTTTCTGAATCTCGTGTGTTATTAGGGTGGAAGGTGAGTACCTTCCCTTAATGTGATGCTCTATGGAGATAAATAAATTTGTTTGTTTTTTATATTGTTTATCTATTGCCAATTTATTTCAGCAGACTCAAATATCAGGGGGTGGGGAACAAGAAACTCCCATTATCCCAGGAGTAACAAGTGAGGGAAATATGAGTTGACTGCACAGGAAGGTTACCTCCCAGCGGGGTGATAATGAGTACAGAACTCACATCAGGTGACTGGTTAAACCTAACTGTGAGATCAGGAAGGGCTCAAGGGAAGGGCCTGAGAAAACCTCACAGGCAAGTGAGCACTTGACTCACACCTTAAGCTGGGTCAGGATTCCAAAAGGCCACTCACTGCGGTAGGCAGCTATTTGTTGCTGTTACAAAATACCTGAGAGGGGCTATCTTTATAAAGTCTTGTTTAGCTCTCAGTTTGGGGAAGTTCAAGGGTGGGGCACTGGCACTGGCTCAATTCTGGTGAGACCCCTCTCAGCCGAGCACCTCGTGTCAGAGGAAATGATGGGAACACTTGTGGGAGCAAGTGATCACATGGTCACATCTCACAGGAAGCCAGAGAGAGCCACTCAGGTCAGGCATGGGACTGTATAGCACCTCTCTCTGAGGAGATCTCACTCTAGGAGGCCAGTGTTCCCTTCTGAGGGCAGCACCCCAATATCCTAAGGACCTCCCACAGTGGATACCACCTCAACACCACCTTAAGACCAAGTCTCCAATACATGGACCCTGGGGACAAACCACTATTAATTGTAAGAAATAACTGAAGACACCCTAGAGGACAGGGACTATGGGAAACAAAGAGGTTAGGAGACAATTTCTTTCTGCAAACATCTGCTCGGATTTCAGTCACATGTGTTACATGATTTTTGCCACCAGAGTTTTCTGCCAGAGAGTACATGAGCACACAGCAGCCTTTTTCTTGATGCCACTAATTTTCTAAAAAGTAAAATAATAAATGTTGGATTAGGTTTTAAATGGACACTATGTGTTGGACATTCCTGTTAGGCGCTGAGTCCTATATTATTTTATTTTATTTAGTCCTCATAGAGCTTGATGAAGTCTCTGCCATTGGCTCATGAACAGTCAGCGGTACAGTGAGGTTGTGTGACTTGCCTGAGGTCACAGGGCAGGGGGAGGAACCCAGGCTTCCAATCCCAGCAGTCAGGTGCTTAGCTGTGAGTGTCAAAGGTGAGAGCCAGGCAGGAAGTGCCCTCCAGGGTCTAATCTCCTGCCCTGCAGCAGCTCAGGCTGTCTCCACACTGCCCCAGGGTGACCACCCTACTTTTCAGAACAGGAAACCAGCTCAGGAGGCCGAGTACGTGATGGGAAAGGAGACACAGACATAGCTGGGGGGAATGGGCTTGCTGTTGACTTGGGCCACTTCTCAGTCCTTTAAAGCAGGCTCCACGAAGTCGGGGACTGAAAATCCTCTCCAGGGACAGATGTTGTCTCCCGTCCCAGGAAAATGCCTATCTCCCATCTCACCTCCCCTAGGCAATCCACCTCCACATCTTAGAATCTGTCTGGAGGGCAGCAGGGGAGGAGGCTCTCCCTCTCTCCTCTGAGAAACTACAGCTTCAGTTTCAGAACATGGACACTCAGTCCTCAAGTGTCCCCATGTAACCGAAAGCTCAGTCCCTGTCTCCAATGCCAATCAATGCCAATTTAATAATGAGGACACAGTTTTGAGAAAAAGGAAAAAAGAAGGTTTATTGCTTTGCTAGCAAAGGAGAAACACAGGGGACTCCTGTCCCAAAGTCTGCGACTCTCCAAATCAGAAGGAACAGAAGGATTTTAAAGGAACTTCAAGGGTTACATTCCAGGTGTGCTCTGGTAGGGGGACCCCAGGGTGCCCTGATGGCTGTTAGGATTCACTTTTTAATTTGGGAGATATTCACTTCCCAGATCCTCAGCAGGCATCTCCTTCCTGTAGTGGGTGTGTTCAAGGGCATTAAACTAGGGGAAGAAAGGTAGCACTGTCTCCCCAATCTGGTTAGGGAGGGGAGAAGGGAGAAGAGAAAAAAAAAAACATTAAAAAAAAGGCCTTAGAGCAATGAGGAAGGTGAAGGCACATCCAGAAGGTGAAGGTACCACTGTTCCACCCAACTTCCCAGTGGCTCTGCTCCTAGGCTTGTATTGCTTCTCAGGGGGTCCAAATTTCAGACCCAAATGATTTTCTTTTTAATCAAGAACTTAGATCTCCTACACCGGTTCCCAGCCTAGGCTTCTCCTCTGGGCTCATGTTGCCCTGGGGCTTGGCTCCCAATCACTGTGGGTACATCTGACCTGCCGCCCCAGTTATCCACCTGCCATCCTTTCCCAGGTTCTCTGGCTTCACCCACTCTCATCTTCCCCTGTGGGCACACCGCCAGCCAAAGAAAGAGAATCCTGCGCTCCTGGGGTGCCACCCGCCGCGGGCCGCTCCTGCCCACTATCGCCACCTCGTGGCTGAAGACCAAACTGCCGGTAGGGATTTCCTGACTGTCCTCCATCAGGGCCACCAACTCCAAACTGTCATGAGCCCAGCCTGCTTGCCGACGCCTGTGGAGCACAGTGACAGAAGCAGAAATCCCATCGGTGCCGGGTGTGAGCGCTACTCTACAGGAGGCAATTGCCTTCGGAGAGCAGCCCCCATGAAACCTAAATAAGGCAGGAGGGAGTCCTGGAGGAGGAGGCAGGGGGGCTGCAGAGGGCAGGAGCAGAACCACCAGGAGGTGAGGGGGCTGCAGGGAAGGGAAGGGAAGGGAGTAGCTGGGGGCCCTGAGGCCAGGTCTCTGCCCCTGACGGAGACTGTACCAGAGGGGGCTGGAGGAGGCTGAGCCTCCCCTGACCCTGAGTGTCCTGAGGACGTGGAAGGCTGGCCAGGACAATGACCTTGAAATTGATAAAGAGAAAAAAGGGCAAACATGAGCTCGTTCTTGCTTTAAAAAAATGCCAGCTGCATACCTATCTGATGGGGAGTATAAAGAGGAAGTCACTGAGCCCGTGGCCTGCCTGGCATGTCACAGGTCCATCTTCACACAACCCCAGGGAGTCACACAAGGCTGGGTTCTCAGCACAAGGGACAGAAGCAAGCAGGGATGTTGAGAGAACAACCAACTCCCTCCACAGCCCCGACCAGGTTTGCTTCAGCATCCACAGGGTTGATGGGACCTGAGGGGGACCACGGGCCTCACCACCAGGTGCTGAGGGGACAGGGCTTGGCAGCAAGGCCTGATGGAAGCAGCAGTGTCCACTCAGGGCAGACCCAGCTAGGAGGGGAGTGCACAAGAGGGAGGAGAGCCCAGGCCACAGGGCACCGAGCTACACCCAAGCAGCCCGGGGTGAAGGCCAGCGGGGGCAGGATGGGACGGAAGCCCATGTCACAGGCCAGGTCAGCACGATGAAGACAGAAGAGCCAGGACAAACCGCTTCCCCCTCCCCTCAAGGACTCGGGGTCCAGGCCAGGCTGCAGGGTCTGTGGCCTGTCCAGGGAACGAAACCCTGAGGCCAAGGCTTCCCACGGGCCCTTCAGGTGGCAGGTGCCAAACACACTCATGCAGGGTGTGGGGACGATTCAGCCCCCGAAAACCTGTGGGGGGAAGATGTGGACTGAGACGAGTGTCCTCTAGAGAAGAAGCTCCCGAGAGGGGACCAGCCCTGGGCAGGCAGGGGACTCCTGCAGCAGCGCTCACTGCAGATGGAAGGCCCAGGCTCTGGTTAATGTTTTGAAGAGACTCCGGGCTGCAGTCCATGTGCAGGGCTCCGTCTGCTTAGAACATCTGCTCCTCTGTCTTCCAGCCGCTGCTCACAGAGGCCCCACCAGCCCAGCCTGACCCCCCAGCACCTGACCCCTGCCCCATCACACTAAGACCAAGACACGAGTCCAGGCTCAGGACTGGACAGGGGCCATGGGCCAGGGCCGTGGGGGTCTCTCTCAAACCCAAGGCCACAGACTCACCCAAAACTCAGTGAACAGGCTCCATCATCTCCCAGGCCTCCCGGGGAGCCAGGAGCAGAACTGGGCATAGATGGCACTGGAGCTCAGTCTGGTCCCCAGCACAGTCCAACTGGTGCTGGAGTCCTTCTTCCTCCTGGGAGAGTTTGCTCCCCTGGGACCATCACCTCTATCCTCGGGGCCAGAAGACTTACAGATGCCCCAAGGCCCCAGGTGCCTGGTGCTGGGCTTTTGCCTCTCCCAGAGGCCTCATCAACTGCTGGCACCCAGCCTGGACACTTGAGGCCAATGATCTGCCTGGTCCCTCATCGTCCAGCCTGTCCTACAAGAAGGAGAAAGACCTGGGCAGAGGGTCCCTTCTCTGTCCATAGCCCACGCTGTGAGTGTTCAGTGAACCATGCCAGCCCAGCCCTGCCTGTCCAGGGGGTGATGAGGGCCTGATCACAGTCCTCTTCTCTTCCTGTCAATCTCTCCTGCTAAGCTTCCCTACTGAAGCCTGTTCCTGAGCCCTTAAGAATTTTTAGGACCATTCTTGTGGCTTTGGACACAATGTGACTGTTACAAGAAGACCCACTTGCAAAATGGCACAAGACACTGCAACTGAGGACTGGGGACACAAAGGTGACTTTTGAAAGGACAGAGCATAGAAGAGAAGGGGGTTAAGTCACCCAGGCTGTTTCTCCAGGCCCCGCCCTGTCCACCTCCGCCTTGTCCCAGGCCCTCCCCCAACACCTCCTGTCCCCGAACATCTCACCTGGCTCCACTTTCCAAATTTCATTCTCTCACCTCAACTTCTTCGAAAACAATGCCCAGAAAAACCTGAGTGTCCCTTTTTCTCTGAAATGCTGACTGAAGACGGCTGGGTATTTTAATGCAGGTCACAGACACCCCCTGAATATGCTCTTCACAGCGAGGACCTCTTGAAGGCTGGGAGGTGGGTGGCTGGCGGAGGGGGCTCAGCCTGGGACAGCTTTTTGGTGTTCCTGGAAGAAAACCTCAGGCCCCTCCCAGGAGCAGGGCCAGCTGTGTGGACAGGAGAGGATGAAATGCCCACACTCTGTCCTCAGGGCCCAGGGCACCCATGCTGCTGGCAGGAAGCGCAGGGAGCAGGGAGGGAAGCTGGTGGGTGCTGGGACGGGAGTGGGGAGAATCCTGCTCCAGGAACGGAGCTGGGTCCACCCACAGAGGGAGGGCAAAGACGAGACCTGAGCTAGTGCCCGCCTCGGCTGCGCCCAGTGCTGGCAGGGCTTACACTCGGTGTCTAGTGCAATCCTGTGACTCAGCCACTCTGCCCCACCTGCCTCAGCCACAGAGATGCACCTGCACTCGGCACCCCTAGAACAGGCTGCTGTAATGTTGAATGAAAGAAGCCAGAGACAGGGACACCAATCTGGGACCAGGGATGCCACTCAGTGGGAGAGCATTAGCCCAGCAAGCTCAAGGCCCTGGGTCCAATCCCCAGCCCCACAAAAAATAATAACACACACCAATCTGTGATCACACTTGTGTGAGTCCCAGACTCTGACAAACCCACAACTTCATGCTTGTGGATGCCACCCTGAGGGGTCAAACTGTGGGAAAAACGAGGAAGTGGTTATCTCAGAGGGGAGGGGGAGGCGCTTGTTTGCTGGGGACACAGATTCTCAGAGTGATGGTGCTGTTCCATCTTGTGTCATGTGGTACTTTGGTTGATTTTGCTTTATAATAATTCCTTTGACCTGTACATTTACTTTAAAGTACTTTTCTGTTGTGTTATTTTCACAATTAAAAATGCTTTAAAAATACTGTTGAGGACTTTTATTTATTTATGTTTCAAGATGTGGTTTCTTTAAATTGCCCGGGTTGGCCTTGAACTTGCGATCCTCTGCCTCAGCCTCTCTTGTAGTTGGGATTACAGGTGCATACCACCACAACCAGCTGTGTTGATAACTTTTGAGCATAAGTGTTTCTAAGATTTTTGTTTTCTTCCTCAGGACTTATCACAGATGTGGGTAACTAGGCACACAGTATGAATATTTTTACAGTTCTTGAGACACACTATACACAATATTGTATCTCACCATTTAGTTTGCATTTCAGTGACTGCTAGTAAGTTAGAACATTTTCCCAGGTGTTTGTTATTTTCTGTTTTCTACCATTCGATAGCCAGTCATGTCAGTAAGGTGCCTCCTCAGCATTTTGAAGGAGCAGAAAGATCCATGCAAAGGAAGATGTTAAAGATATCCAGGAAGGCTGGATGTGGTGGCACACACCTGTAATCCCAGAGACCAGGGAGGCTGAGGCAGGAGGATTGCAAATTCAAGGTCAGCCTTAGCAATTCATCGAAGCCCTAAGCAACTCAGTGAGACATTGTTTGTAAATAAAATATAAAAAGGGCTGGGATGTGTCTCAGTGGTTAAGTATCCCTGGGTTCAGTCCCCCATACCAATAAAACAAAACAAAACAAAAAAAGAATACAAAACCCAACAAACCAAGGAGGGCCAGGGGTAAGAGAAGGAGGCAGCCAGGCCCGGCTTCTGGAACCTGGGATCTGACCAGCTGGCATCCCTTCCCCCTCTGCAGCCACAGGGCTGTGCCACTCTTTTCTGCTGGGCTCCCTTCATCCTGGGTCAGCTGGAGCAGCAGGAGGGGCAGGCTGGAGAGGCAGAGTGAGCTGACTTCACCCCTGCTGCAGGGAGCTGGTCCAGGAGGCTGCAGACACAGGGTGGGGATGGAGAGCACAGCACTCAGCTGGGCTGGGGAGGGGGCCGTCAGCTAGAGCAGGAAGGAGGTTTGGGAAGGGGGGCGAGGCGTGCAGAGGGAAGGAAACTGAGCAGACGGGAATTGCAGGGGATGGATGAAACCCTGGGCAGGTCTGAAACTATCCTGGAGGGACTGCAAGAGACCAGAAGGCCCTTGAACAGCCAGGAATTGAGCCTTATCTTCAAAGTCAACGTTTCCCAAATCTGTGCTGATTCAGAACACTAATTTAGCAGGACCTCCGTGGAGCTTTTGGGTAAAAAGGGAAAAGGGACATGGGACCTCATGGTCATGTGTTGTGAAACACCAGAGCAGAATTCAAGCTGGTGTCCTGCTGCATGAGGGACTCTGAGTAGCTCAGAAGGAATCTGGTCTGAAGCGTTTCCCAGATGTATCTGACCTTTCCCCTGTCCTCTTCTTCTTTTTGGCACCAGGGACTGAACCCAGGGGTGCTTAACCCCCGAACCACATCCTCAGCCCTTTTTATGTTTTATTTTGAGACAGGGTCTCACTAAGTTGCTTAGGGCCTCCCTAAATTGGTGAGGGTGGCTTTGAACTTGCTGTCTCCCTGCTTCCGTCTCCAGAGCCCCGTCCTCCTTTTTAAAGATGTATCTCTCAGAACTGATGATCCATGGATTTTGCTGGAAGTTTCTCATGTAGGTAAACTGGACGGCAGTTTGTTGACATGGTGGGTGACAGGAGCTGGGCTATGTATTCCCTGCTCTCCCCTGAGAGCCCTTGCCTTTTCAACTCTCTTCCCCTGTGATGGATGATTAATAATGTGGTCTCATTGAAAGTGAGTCCCAAGGGCTCAGCCACATCTCCATGGGAAATATGAGCTCCTAGGGTGAAGCTCCCTGCCCCCAGTCCAGACCCTGGCCAGTGGTACACACACACACACACACACACACAAAGTTAATGAACTCCTGACTGGGTGCCAGCCAGAGCCAGGATTCAGGGACGGACTGTTTTTTCAATTGAGGTCTAATTTACATGGAGGACAACTCAACATTTTGAAGTATACAAGGATTTTCTTGCACTTTTTAGAGAATTTTTAAAATTTTTCTACAGCTCTTGAAAAACCAGCCTCTACCTCAGAGCAAAGCCTGTCCAAGGAAGGGACATGGCCTTTGTCCTTGGAAAAACCCACAGAGCACTCCTAGGCACATTCCCACCCTGCTGAGTTGTTTATCTACAAATAACAGGAGAGATCTGCTGTGCCAGGTGTCCCTGACTCAGTCAGGCTAGGAGGGGATCCATAGCAGCCCCCTAGCAGCCACCAATCAGCATGAGACAGGGAAATACCTGGGATGCCAATGGTTTATGGTGGTTGATAACAAGTTGGGAAACCATGTAGTTCAGCACATACACCCCTCTTGGCTCAAACCAATCAGTTCAAACGAATACCCCGTTTGTACTGACCAATCACCCCTACCCAACTTGTTCCCGCCAGTGAATGTGCTAATCATGTTTTAGAGTTGTTATTTGATTTTCCCGCAGTGTGTGATGATTTGCTATGATGTATGTGAAGTCCCTGCCCTCTCCAAAGAATGTATAAAAATGCTGCAAACCCTGGGCTCGGGGCCTCTCAGCGTCACCAGTTGCTGTGTGTGTGCGCGGAGGACCGAGCTAGCTTGCACTAAACACCTCTTTGCTGCTTACATCGATCTTGGGTCTCTGGTGGTCTTTGGGGGTCCTGAATTCGAGCATAACACTCCGTATCAGATTCATGTTGTTTTGTTACTTCTTATGTTGGAATGGGGACAATCAATTCTGTCATTTATATTTATTTATTTATTTATTTGTGGTGCTGGGGATCGAACCCAGGGCCTTGTGCATGTGAGGCAAGCGCTCTACCAAGTGAGCTATATTCCCGATATTATGAGTAAAACCACATTTTCCCTTTTTTGTTTGCATCTTCTGCTTAGCTACTCAGTTGCTGAGACAAGTTTAGAGACTGGACTGTGGGTAGCTACATTCTGGCAGAGTAGTCATTTGGTTTTCCTCTGAATTGTTGGAAACCTTTACGCCTCAGGCCCATGCCCTGTTTTTTTGCTCTGATCATGTTCCCCAGTGACAGCAGTGCCCCTTTTGACTTCAGGGGTGTGTGTGCATTTTTAGTTCTGCAAGGCCCAATGCATCCTGGGAACCATTATCACTGCTATTGTTATTTCTAGGAGCAAAGACTGGAGAAAACCACAGACTGGAAAATACCACTCACTTCAAACCTCCTGGGAGGAATTCCTGGGTGAGGATGAAGAGCTCTGCAGAGGTTACAAAGACCTGTTTTACTGGAACAAAAGGCAGAGCAGGGTATCCTGACTGTTGGGAGCCTGTGATTCGAGTTCACTTGGGATTAAGCAATTCTTGGCTCTTGAGACACACAACGCCGCCAACTGCTCTTGCAGAACATTGAAGGGAATATTGGGATTATGGCTGGATACTTAAAAAAAAAAAACTCAACCACATCCTCATGCTTCTTGTCACGTACAGCAGCACCACAGGAAAGGCCTGGTGGTAGCATGGGTGAGTTGACAGGACTCCTACACTTTAATTTTCAGAGGCAAAGGATGGGTGGAGCCCTGGAGTGGACATCCAAATTTCTAGTTGTATTCCCAGCATGTGTTGCACCTTTGCTTAAGACCCCTTCTGGTCCTACATCCTGAGGTCCAGAGCTGAGCTGAGCTGAGCTGGGTTGAGCTGAGCTGGGAGGGGAACCTGAATATTTGGCCTCATAGATAAGATCAAGTCTCAGCAGCTCATGGGTCTGGGGTAAGTCTTTTCTGATGCAAGAGCTGGTGAAGGCAGCTATGTTGGGGCCTCAGGAGAGGAGGACCTCCAGGGCAGGGTTGAAGTAGCTGCACATCTTGGTGCAGTTTGTACCTGGGGGCAGGGGCAGGAAGAATGGAGCAGATCTGGTAGCCCTGGATCTGACTGGCTTTCACTGGCTGAAGAGCACAAGAGACCTATAATGTAGTTCCTGTAATGAATGACTTGTACTTGTATATGACTCATTAGGGAAATATTTCAAAGGCAATCAACATTATAATAAGCATTATAATAAATTAATAATGCAAGTGGTTTTGAAAAATGTGATAAGAGTGAATTGATGGGGTTGAATTCTTCAGTTTATTGGCTCATCAAAAGGATGGGGAGATGGTTGAAAAGTTATTGCTAAAACAGGAATTTTAAAACATGACTCAAAGGATGGTCTGTTGTATATCTAGTAAATAGATTTAAGTCCTAAACCAGTGGACCAAAAAATCTGAGTGCACATTAGTCCTGCTAAATTCTAAGTCACTAATTTAGCCCCAGAATAACTGTTCACATTAATGTTTATAACAACTTTTAATGCTTTGTCTCTACTTTATGCCTTTTGATTTTATTGTTTTGAGATAAGCATAAGGCATATAGATTTTTGTGTTTGTATATCTTTGACTAATGTGATCATAAAGCAACTTAAATCATAGTTGAAATTCAAAGTGTGCGTGATCTAAAAGGGAACTCATAGCTCTTAGGCAAATACCATCTGCTACGCATAGTGTCAGCACCACCTAGTGGCGAGATGCAGAACTGCAATACCACTGCATGGTGAATTTCCATGAAAAACACGACCTTAGTAAAATTACAATTATCTTATATTAGACAAAGGCGCCAAAAACATGCATTGGAGAAAAGATAGCCTCTTCAACAAATGGTGCTGGAAAACTGGAAATACATATGCAACAAAATGAAATGAAACCCCTATCTCTCGCCATGCATAAAACTCAACTCAAAATGGATCAAGGAATAAGATCCCAACTTCCTTAATAAGACTCACAAGAATTCAAAGCAAGAATCAATAAAACTAAAAAGTTTCTTCTCAGCAAAAGAAACAATCTGTAAGGTGAATAGAGAGCCTACATCTTGGGAGTAAATCTTTACCCTTCACACATCAGATAGAACACTAACCTCTAGGGATTATAAAGAACTCAAAAAGCTAAGCACCAAAAAACCAAATACCCCAATCAATAAATGGGCCAGGGACCTGAACAGACACTTCTCA